ATTACGCCATAGTTTTCGGCCATAAAGAAGTCGTGTCCACCCAAACCGCAGCCCACATCCAACACACGCTGACCTTTCTTCAGCTCCAGAAGCGGTATAATCTCTTTAGTGGTCTCGAGTCCGCCAGTGGACAGATATCCCTCGCCGAAGATCCACTCGTATTTCTTGACTCCGTGTTTGGAGTACTGGACGTCGTCCAGAAAATCCTGAGAATTTTCATAATAATTGGTCGATTGAGTCGTCATTATTGCCGACAATTACTTTTATCAACTTTTCAGCTCAAGAAAGACCAGAGAGACAACAATTTATATATTTATGAGTGAACTTCAATTCTGTTCGTGGCTTCAGAGTTGGAATCAGAGTCTGGTCTCACAGTTATCTTAATTGTAATATTTTAAATAAAATATAGCATTAATTAACTTCACTTTATAGCGGATTCGTTATTTCAATGTGTAATTCAACTACAGTACAGTATATTTAGCTCTAATATACATGTATGTCTTTATTGCCAGACAATTAATATTTGGACAAAAATACTCGAGTCATGTATCGAAATGTTATTTAATGCTAATTTATTTGCATTTCATAATTACTGTGTTTTGTGTCAATTTTAAAACTATTGCATATTTTGATTACAATTAAACATAAAAATAGTTAATATGATTATTTTTTATTGGTAGTATTTTATTATAAGTCTACTATCATAGCTAATGTTTAGTCTATGACAATTTTAAATCTATGTGTAACTTTTTAAAAATTATTCCAACAATCCTAACATATTTAGTGAATTGTATTAAATCGTTATTCGTAATTACAATTTTGTGTTTCTGATTAAAAATGGGTTTTAATTAAATGTATAATTTCATAATTATAATTTAAATTGTAAAATTAAATTACATATAATTCTTATCGACCATTGATTTAACATCTAATCATTTAACAAATTCTTGTATCTATATTTATATTAAAAAGATTGTATTTCAATAACTGAATATTTAATTATTTCAATTAATTAAACATATTTTATTAAATTATAAATAAACTACAATTTAAAAAATTATCAATTTTTAATAAAAACATTATTTTAAAATCTATAATATAATGACATTTTAAGTTCTTTATCGAAAACAATTAATTAATAGGTTTATAGGCTCTGACGAGACCCCAAGTCTGGTGACCATCTTTGGCGCGTTTAATCTTCGCGACCCAACCGTCCTCTAAGTCCTTATAGTCCTCATCGTTAAACTCATTTAAAAAGTCATTTCTTTCGGAATAAAGTTTCTTGAGTTCTCTGTTAAGAGAGTCGACAAACCTATCGTTGATGTCTTCGGCCAATACATTAACAAATCCCGTATTTTTAATAAGAGTGTTATATTCGGATAGTTTATACAAAGTGTAATCTCTTTGTTTGACATAATTTTCAAACTCTTGAGAATAAGAGTTAGATTCTCCGCGACAGTAGTCCGTGAAGACAACTCGTCCGCCGGGTTTTAGCCATCGGAGGAACGACTGAAATAATTGGGGCTTTTCTCTGATGTGGAGCAACGCATCCCTACTATAGATCACATCGTAATAATTTTCCGGGAATTGAGTGGCCGTCACATCACAGATACGGAACTTAATATTGTTAGCGATTTGTGGCTTTTTGTTGAAGTGATGCAGAGCTACGGACATCATGTTCTTCGATAAGTCGATCGCATCGATAATTACGCCATAGTTTTCGGCCATAAAGAAGTCGTGTCCACCCAAACCGCAGCCCACATCCAACACACGCTGACCTTTCTTCAGCTCCAGAAGCGGTATAATCTCTTTAGTGGTCTCGAGTCCGCCAGTGGACAGATATCCCTCTCCGAAGATCCACTCGTATTTCTTGACTCCGTGTTTGGAGTACTGGACGTCGTCCAGAAAATCCTGAGAATTTTCATAATAATTGGTCGATTGAGTCGTCATTATTGCCAACAATTACTTTTATCAACTTTTCAGCTCAAGAAAGACCAGAGAGACAACAATTTATATATTTATGAGTGAACTTCAATTCTGTTCGTGGCTTCAGAGTTGGAATCAGAGTCTGGTCTCACAGTTATCTTAATTGTAATATTTTAAATAAAATATAGCATTAATTAACTTCACTTTATAGCGGATTCGTTATTTCAATGTGTAATTCAACTACAGTACAGTATATTTAGCTCTAATATACATGTATGTCTTTATTGCCAGACAATTAATATTTGGACAAAAATACTCGAGTCATGTATCGAAATGTTATTTAATGCTAATTTATTTGCATTTCATAATTACTGTGTTTTGTGTCAATTTTAAAACTATTGCATATTTTGATTACAATTAAACATAAAAATAGTTAATATGATTATTTTTTATTGGTAGTATTTTATTATAAGTCTACTATCATAGCTAATGTTTAGTCTATGACAATTTTAAATCTATGTGTAACTTTTTAAAAATTATTCCAACAATCCTAACANAACTCTTATTCTCAAGAGTTTGAAAATTATGTCAAACAAAGAGATTACACTTTGTATAAACTATCCGAATATAACACTCTTATTAAAAATACGGGATTTGTTAATGTATTGGCCGAAGACATCAACGATAGGTTTGTCGACTCTCTTAACAGAGAACTCAAGAAACTTTATTCCGGAAGAAAAGAGTTTTTAAATGAGTTTAACGATGAGGACTATAAGGACTTAGAGGACGGTTGGGTCGCGAAGATTAAACGCGCCAAAGATGGTCACCAGACTTGGGGTCTCGTCAGAGCCTATAAACCTATTAATTAATTGTTTTCGATAAAGAACTTAAAATGTCATTATATTATAGATTTTAAAATAATGTTTTTATTAAAAATTGATAATTTTTTAAATTGTAGTTTATTTATAATTTAATAAAATATGTTTAATTAATTGAAATAATTAAATATTCAGTTATTGAAATACAATCTTTTTAATATAAATATAGATACAAGAATTTGTTAAATGATTAGATGTTAAATCAATGGTCGATAAGAATTATATGTAATTTAATTTTACAATTTAAATTATAATTATGAAATTATACATTTAATTAAAACCCATTTTTAATCAGAAACACAAAATTGTAATTACGAATAACGATTTAATACAATTCACTAAATATGTTAGGATTGTTGGAATAATTTTTAAAAAGTTACACATAGATTTAAAATTGTCATAGACTAAACATTAGCTATGATAGTAGACTTATAATAAAATACTACCAATAAAAAATAATCATATTAACTATTTTTATGTTTAATTGTAATCAAAATATGCAATAGTTTTAAAATTGACACAAAACACAGTAATTATGAAATGCAAATAAATTAGCATTAAATAACATTTCGATACATGACTCGAGTATTTTTGTCCAAATATTAATTGTCTGGCAATAAAGACATACATGTATATTAGAGCTAAATATACTGTACTGTAGTTGAATTACACATTGAAATAACGAATCCGCTATAAAGTGAAGTTAATTAATGCTATATTTTATTTAAAATATTACAATTAAGATAACTGTGAGACCAGACTCTGATTCCAACTCTGAAGCCACGAACAGAATTGAAGTTCACTCATAAATATATAAATTGTTGTCTCTCTGGTCTTTCTTGAGCTGAAAAGTTGATAAAAGTAATTGTTGGCAATAATGACGACTCAATCGACCAATTATTATGAAAATTCTCAGGATTTTCTGGACGACGTCCAGTACTCCAAACACGGAGTCAAGAAATACGAGTGGATCTTCGGAGAGGGATATCTGTCCACTGGCGGACTCGAGACCACTAAAGAGATTATACCGCTTCTGGAGCTGAAGAAAGGTCAGCGTGTGTTGGATGTGGGCTGCGGTTTGGGTGGACACGACTTCTTTATGGCCGAAAACTATGGCGTAATTATCGATGCGATCGACTTATCGAAGAACATGATGTCCGTAGCTTTGCATCACTTCAACAAAAAGCCACAAATCGCTAACAATATTAAGTTCCGTATCTGTGATGTGACGGCCACTCAATTCCCGGAAAATTATTACGATGTGATCTATAGTAGGGATGCGTTGCTCCACATCAGAGAAAAGCCCCAATTATTTCAGTCGTTCCTCCGATGGCTAAAACCCGGCGGACGAGTTGTCTTCACGGACTACTGTCGCGGAGAATCCAACTCTTATTCTCAAGAGTTTGAAAATTATGTCAAACAAAGAGATTACACTTTGTATAAACTATCCGAATATAACACTCTTATTAAAAATACGGGATTTGTTAATGTATTGGCCGAAGACATCAACGATAGGTTTGTCGACTCTCTTAACAGAGAACTCAAGAAACTTTATTCCGAAAGAAATGACTTTTTAAAAGAGTTTAACGACGAGGACTATAAGGACTTAGAGGACGGTTGGGTCGCGAAGATTAAACGCGCCAAAGATGGTCACCAGACTTGGAGTCTTGTTAGAGCCTATAAACCTATTAATTAATTGTTTTTTTTAATTATTAAAAATATTGAACTTTTTATAAGTTTTATATAAATAATTAAATTATTATTTAATAAATAATGTTTTTATTAAAAATTGATAATTTTCTAAAATTATAAACATAATTAATATTA